AATACTATCAAGCATGTGCAGTCTGAATGAGACCATGAGGGCGCATGCGCCCGCAGTGCGCGCGCGCGTGATTTTTGCTGGGCGCGCGCGCGCGCGCAATCTGGTATCCTCTGTGAAGATGCGGATAAAGCCGCCAAGTTGGTTCAAATGAAGACTTCATGACACATTTGGTTGGAGCTTTCTGGGTGCTACCACATGGGCGTACAACATATATACATATAGAATCGCATAATACAACCATTATGTATGTATACATACATATACGAACTTAGATGTAAGTATATATTATATTATATATGTATATGATATATGTATAAGAATATATATATATATATATATATATATATACATATATATATATATATATGCATATATATACATATATAGATGCGTGTACACACATACAGTACATGCGAGTGTTAGAGTGCAGATATCATGAGAAGCAATAAGCAACAACAGTGTTCGCGCAATATCTTGGGCGTCTGTTTCGACCTCCTGGGAAGCTCTGCGGACCCCCCAGGAGGGGTGAGAGGAACGGGGGATGAGTAGAAGGAGAATCAGAAATGTTATCAAGCACGTGCAGTCTGAATGAGACCATGAGGGCGCATGCGCCCGCAGTGCGCGCGCGTGATTTTTCCTGGCCACGCGCGCGCGCAATCTGGCATCCTCTGTGAAGATGCGGATAAAGCCGCCAAGTTGTTTCAAATGAAACCTTGAAATGAAAATGATCGCATGGGGCGGCTCTCAGCGGTGTCCGCCCTTGATGAGCGGCGAATCGGCCTGCGCTTTGTACTCGTCCGACGCGTTCTTGGAGTTCCAGCCGATGCAGAATATGAGCCGCAGATTGTTGTAGAGAGCAGCGAGCAAGTACACCCGCAGGATCCACAACGCCGCAGGCTTCCGGAGATGCAGACCCTTGCTCGCGTAGAGCGAAGGGCATGGGCCCCCCCAAAGCCAGCTCTTGGACGCGTAGCTCTCCGCGAAGCTCATGATGGCAGGAACGTAACGCTCCGCCCAGTGCGCCTGCGCGAGTTCACAGACGCGAAACCTTTGCTGGCGCCCATCTGCCGGCAACGCTTCCGCGGCTGGGACAGCCGCCACTGCGCCCGGGTCCGCGGGCGACAGCTTCTCAATCAGTTCGTGCTCCAGCGAGACGTAGTCGCTCCCACATCGGCCAATGATCCTCCCGATCGCCTGGCCTCTGAGCGTCACGACCTTGTCCTGCAAGCTACTCTGTCCGAACATGAAAGTGAACGTGGAATCGCTGATGATGACGGGGAGACCCCCGAGGCTCTCCCACCACGAGCTCTGCCAATCCAAGAAATCGAGCTCCTTCCAGCTTCCCCCCTCGAGCGCGGAAGATGCAGCCGACAAGGGGATTGTGCGCCGCTGCACTGGCGCCAAGGCAAGGCAGGGGGCGCGCGCGACCGGTTCCTCTCCAAGACGGACTATGGGCGCGGTGAGCTTGCTGTAATGCATGTGCGCGGCGGCCTTCTCTGGGTCTCGGTAGAGGAGCCGCCCTTGAACCGCCGCCCAAGTTTTGCCCCTTGGCGTCAAAGTTGACCAGCTCCAAAAGTTTCTGAACGTAGAAGGAACACATTCTTCCATCGCGCCTCGCGCGCAAAGGTACTCGCGCACGACCTTCGTCATAGAGAGTGGGCCCATGCATAGGACGCCCTCTCTTCCAGTCATGGCCACGGGGATGTCGAAATAGTCAAGAGTGTCGTCAATCGCATGTTGCCCAGGCCGCGCACAGCGGCGCCAACGGTCAGGATGCGAACAGATCATGCCCACCGCGCGCCTCCACGCGTCTTGCCAGACCTGGAGCCCGGGGCAGCCCATCATGAAGCCGTTGATGATCTCCCCGTGCAGGCCGCCGAACTTCTCCTTGTGCTGACCGCCGTAGCAGAAGAGCAGCGGAGGGGGCGTGCCACCGAAATGACGAGGCACTGCTTCTAAGCCAATCCCATCGGCATCGTCTGCTGGCGCCCCTCGCAGGTCAAGCCACATGCCCCCAAATTTGCACAGTGCCCAGAGGCGAAAGAGGTCTGACCGCACCACCATGTAAGCGGGATCAATGGAGAAGTAGGCCTCGCGCAGGGCGGCATCCGCGCAGGCATCCATCTCCGCGTCCATGGCCTCATGAGACCAGTTGCAAAGGGACCACCCATGCGCTGCGCTCTTCTCCTGCAGAGCTTGCACGTGGTCTTTGATGTCGCCGAGTGCCGACTCCCAGCAAGGGCCTGAGACGTGGCGGACCCTCGGGATCCAGAACTGCCTCTTAGTGGTTGGCATGGGGGCCCACGGAGGTCCAGGCGACGTGCCGGACCAGAAGCGCAGGGGCACCTTCAGGGGAGCGCGCGGAGAGACCATGGATGCCGCGTTCGAGCCACCCCGCTCCTGACCGCTGCCTGCCATTACTGCCGACGGGGCGCCAGCTGCGTCGGAATCCCAGAGAGAACTAGGTTCACATCGGGAAAGGTGACGGCCTTGAGCCAGAACGGCCACGGGCGCACTCAACCAGGCCGACGGTGCAAAGTCGTCGGTTAACCGCCCCACAGCGACCAAAACGTGCAAGGGCACACTTTTTCATAAAAAATGGTTTGGCGCGCTGTTCTCTGGCCCCAGAGCCTCTGGCGCCGCTGGGGGGGTGATCTCTGGAGGGGCCCTCGGATGGTCGAAATCGATAAAACGATCCTAGACATTCAGGCCGACTTCTCGATAACCTTCCAAGATGAAACCATCCCGCCTAATCGCTACCCTCCGCCCCGCCCACCCGCCCGCCCCCACCCCCCCCTCTCTTGGGAACGTCCCGAGGCGTGCCCGCTGAGCTACCAGAAACCCCTCGAGAGGTCTTTAAGAAGCTCCCAAGAGCCCCGAAGCACAAAGGAGCCCCCTCCCCCCCCCTCAGATGCGCCTAAGCGCTCTTCAGATATCGCATGCCGCGCGCGCGCGCGCATCCCCGGGGGGGGGGGGGGGGAAGGGCGGGGGCGCGGCAATGCGCCCAAGGGCTCTGGCAATATAATTCCGAAATGTGCCGCGGCGCACGCAATCGCGAAACCTGAACGAAGCGCGGGAGAGGCCGCAAAACTGACATCCTGGTAGCCTCTGAGAAATCTTGAGAAATCTCATGGAGCACCTCTGAAGACTCGGACGCGCTCCCCAGGCGCATTGGCGGGATAAGCCGGAGGCCATTGGATGAAAGACGTTCGAGGATGGCATTGAGCGGGATAAGGAGAGGAAGACCACATGCGCCAGCATTGGGGCGTAACGCTCGGCACAAACGAGCGGTCTGCATATCGCACGGGCGCGGAAGATATACTCGCAATCGCAAGCAGGCCATGTCTGCGGTGGGCGCGGCGGGCCGCGCCTTCAGAAGCTCTCGTCCGAGCTCTCGTCGCTCCCGAGCGGCGGCGGCGGCGGGTCCCGGCCCCCGCGCGCGCGCGAAGCGCGCGCCCTCCGCGGGGGCGGCGGCGGCGGCGGCCACAGCAGCGGCGGCGCCTGCGGGATCCCGCTCGCCCAGGCTAACCACTCCAACCGTTGACCCGTTGGTGTCGCGAGCCTGAGGGAGCGGGATCCCCGAGATGCTGCTCATCGCCGCCGCCAGCTCACCAGCCGCCTTTGCCTTCGCATTGGCTTCGGCGAGCAGCCCGCGCAGGCGCTCGCACTCCGCCAGCGTCCGCCTGTGCGCGCCCTCCTCGAACTCGAGGAGGTCCGCGTTCACCTCGCGGTCGCTGAGGGCCTCGTCGGGGAAAAGAATACTCTCGCGCCCCGCGCCGCCCCACCGAATCCTGCCCCGCCCCAATACCCCAACCGACTATTAACGCGCCACATTGCGCGGCCCGCCAGCCTCGGCCAGCTCGGCGCGGAGGCGGGCGCAGCAGCCGCACTCCTTCGGCGGCGCCTTCCCGATCAAAGCCTTGGGCGGTGGCTTCGGCCGCGGCGCTACCGCGTTCTCCAGGGCGCGAGCTGCGCAGGCCTTGAGGGGGGGCGGCGCTTTCCAAGGGGTCGCCGTGGCGGCTGCGGCGGCGGCGGCGCTCTGCTGCCCGCTGGTCTCGACCAGGGCCTGGGGTGGTGGCTTCGACGGCGGCGCCGTGCTCTCCGGGGCGCGAGCCGCCCTGCCCTTGGGGGGGGGCTTCGGCGGCGGCGCCTTACCCTGAGAGGCGCAGCCCTGAACCTCCGATGGAAGCTTCGGCGCGGGCGCCGTGCCCGCTGGAGCATGAGCCGCCAAGGCCTTGGGGGGGGGCTTTGGCGGCGGCACTCTGCCGTTGCCCTCGGCGAGCGCCGGGGGGGCGGGCGCGCCCGACATCGCGCGCCCGCGCGCGGCGTGGAGGAGGTGCTAGGATCCGCGCGGCAGGCGACGCGCGGGTCTCAAGCCGATACTGTTCTGTTGTTGTTGTTCTGGAACACATTGAGGCCAGGCAGCCACCGCGTGTCATCGCGGCTCGGAAGCGCCCGGATGGCACTGGAACTACCAAAGGGAAACCTGAAGGCATCAGAGAGAACCACGTGGTGTCAGGAAGAAGCGCAAGGACGACTTGTTTATGCTAAGTGGTTCGGTGCGCAACTATCGGGCCCCGGGGCCCCTGGCGCCGCCGGGGGGCGACCCCCGGCGGTGTTCTCGGGCGGTCAAAATTTATTAAGTGATCCCAAATACCCCGAGTGGACACTGGCGGGCCCAGCAGGCGCGGCGGCGGGCGGAAGCCTCAGTTCGGACGACAAATGCACCGAAAAGTCTCCAGTGGCTTCCAGAGAAAGTTACCAGACGCGAATATTCTCTGGGGGCTCCTGTAGGCGATGCAGACGATGATGATGATATTTTCTGTCGCCGCCCGCTGGGGGCGCGAGCCGGTCCTGGGCGTTAGCGGAGCTCGCGGAGCTCACCTGCGCCGGGCGGCGGGCTGCCTCTGCTCGCGGCCTCTCTGGGAGAGCGGGCTTGCGGCGTAGGCGCAGAGGCCGCCGCCGGGCGGCCGGCGCCCGGGCTCGCCCTCGGCGCTGACGCCCTCGGCGCTGTCGTCGCTCTCCGCGAGCGCCTCGTCGCCGCGGGGCCCTTCCTCTGGGGGGGCGAGCTTTTCCGGGCCCTTGCTCGCGCGGCCGGCGGTGGTCCACCTCCAGTGAGACCACCCCTTGGGCTTTTCCGTCAGCGGGAGGTCCTCGTCAGTGAGCAGTGCAGCGTTGCCGAGGACGATCAGCGCCTGGCAGGCCCAGATGATGAGGTTCATCGGGTCCGCGGCGGCCTCGGCGAGGCTCTCGGCCGTGCCGAAGCGGGCCTTGCCCGTCGGTCAGAGTGGTCTCTTTTGCGCGCTCCGTCAAGAGGCGCGCGGCGTCGTCCACCGCGTGGCGGGCGGCCTCCCCGGCGAAGAACTCCCGTGAGTTCGTCCCCAAGTGTCCCTTCGCGTGAGCCACCAGCTCGCCGTGCGCCTCTGGGTCCAGGCACCCCAGGTGCTTGAGCCAGATCGTCACGTGCGGAACCAGAAGCCTGGCAGCCGAGCACACGCGCGTGCATCGGAGCACAGTCTTCGAGCCGATCAGCTTGCCCTCCTCGAGATCGACGTCCTTCTTCAGGATCCAGAGCACGTTCTCCATGTAGGAGGCCACGTGGAGGCTCGTCACGGACAGAGCGTCCACGTTTTGTGTCGTGCTGACCTTGCGCAGGTTCGGGAAGAGCTTGTCCATGGCATCCCGCGGACACCCGGGCTGCAGCAAAGCTTCCACCATGTCCTCCCGACCAGCCACAACCGGGGGAGCCGCACTACTTGCCCAAACCGAGAGAGTCCACCGATTCAACCATCTCTCGATACGGGCGTCGAAGACGATGCCCCCCTTCGGAAAAGGCAAGATATGAATTTCCCGCAGTTGTGGCTGGTTGGTCCTTGGCTTTGCCCGAGTTGCGCCCGTACTCCACGGCGGCCACGATCGCCGCCCGCCGCGGGAGCGCCGTCGAAGCCAGGAGCTTGTAGGCCTCGGCGCTCTTCTCGCCAAGCTTGACGCTGAGGTGGGTGCGCGTGAACCGTAGGGCTGCCTCCAGCCGCGGGGTGAGCTTTGCCCACGTCTGCTCCACCAGGCCCGCAAGGGCCAGGCGCGCGAGCAGCAGGGCGGCCAAAACATGGCCGAGGTCTCCGAAGGAAGTGCGTCCGTGGGCCTTCTTGGCCTGCTGCGTCTTCTTCTGCCGGCTGCGCCTCACCTTGGCCAGGTGGCTGTTGCTCTGCTTCTGCTTGGCCTTGTCCTTTGCAAGCCAAGCCCTGGCTCGGAAGCGGTCCTGCTTGGATCCGCCTCCCTCCTTCAGGAGGTTCTGGTAGGACGTCCGCAACTCATCGTTGCAGCGCCGACTGGACCTAGGGCCCGCCACCTTCCACGGCGGCGCGGGGGCCGCAGCGGGGGCCGCAGCGGCGGGCGGGGCGGCAGCAGGCCGCTTCATCCCTGGAGCAGGGACGGCTTAAGAGGGGCCTCGGTTAACAAGGACTCAACAGCCGAGGGCGGCGGTCACCCTAAAATAGGGGCCATTTTTAGGGGGACCGGTCCCCCTAAAATCCCATCCGATTTTAGGGGGGCCGGTCCCCCTAAAATCCCATCCCGTTTTAGGGAGACCGGTCCATCGAAAATGCCCTCCGTTTTATAGGGATCGCCCTATCTAAAATGCCTCTCCCGAGAAACCTGCAAAACACCTCAAGAGGTACCCCCAAGATCGCTCCAAGACGGCTCAAGAGGTCTCAACGATGGTTCTGAGACGGCCAAAGAAGGCCCCAAGACGGCCCATGCCGGCGCCTCCAAAACGGCCTAAGAGGCTCCCCAAGCCGACTCCAAGAGTGTGCCCAGACGGGGCGCCCGAACCGACATTTCGAGCCCTCAGCCCAGGATGACGGTCACCCTAAAATAAGGGCCATTTTTAGGGGGACCGGTCCCCCTAAAATCCCATCCGGTTTTAGGGGGACCGGTCCCCCTAAAATCCCATCCCGTTTTAGGGAGACCGGTCCCCCTAAAATCCCATCCCGTTTTAGGGGGACCGGTCCATCGAAAATGCCCCCCCCCCCGTTTTATAGGGATCTCTATCTCTAAAATGCCTCTCCCAAGAGGCCTGCAAAACACCTCAAGATGCACCCCCGAGATCGCTCCAAGACGGCTCAAGAGGTCTCAACGATGGTTCTGAGACAACTAAAGAAGGCCCCAAGACGGCCCATGCCGCCTCCAAAACGGCCTAAGAGGCTCCCCAAGCTGACTCCAAGAGTGCGCCTATACGGAGCGCCCAAACGGACATTTCGAGCCATCAGCCGAGGGTGGCGGTCACCCTAAAATAGGGGCCATTTTTAGGGGAACCGGTCCCCCTAAAATTCCATCCGGTTTTAGGGGGACCGGTCCCCCTAAAATTCCATCCCGTTTTAGGGAGACCGGTCTATCGAAAATGCCCTCCGTTTTATAGGGATCGCCCTATCTAAAATGCCTCTCCCGAGAGCCCTGCCGTCGTCGTTGTCGTCGTGGTCGTGGTCGTCGTCGTCGCCGTCGCCGCCGCCGCCGACGACGACGCCGCCGTCGTCGCCGCCACCGCCGCCGCCGACGGCGCCGCCGTCGCCGCCACCGCCGCCGCCGACGACGACGCCGCCGACGACCTCGACGACGACGACGACGACGACGACGACGACGACGACGACGACGACGACGACGACATCCGCAACGACGACGACCGCAACGACGACGACGGCGCCGCCGACGACGACCGCGACGACGACGACGACGACGACGACGACGACGACGACGACGACATCCGCAACGACGACGACCGCAACGACGACGACGGCGCCGCCGACGACGACCGCGACGACGACGACGACGACGACGACGACGACGACGACCACGACGACGACATCCACAACGACGACGACCGCAACGACGACGACGGCGGCGGCGGCGGCGACGACGACGACGACGATGACGGCGACGACGACGACGACGACCACGACGGCGGCGGCGGCGACGACGAGAGGTGGTAGCGGCCCGCGGGGTGCCGACAGCGCACCTTCCGGTAGCGGCCCTTCCGGTCGCAGCTCGAGTCCCCGGTGGCGGTCCGGGCCACGCGGGACGAATCGGACACCGCCGGCGATCGACCGTAGTCGTCGTCGTCGTCGCCGCCGCCGCTGCCGCCTCCGCCGCCACCACCGTCGCCGCCGCTGCCGCCGCCGCCGTCGTCGTCGTCGGCGGCGGCGGCGTCGTCGGCGTTGGGTTCGGAGTCGGGGTCCAATCCAACCTCCCAGAGGTAGCAGAAAATCTTGAAGACCGTTTCTGTTAAACTGCACCGTTACACGCCTGGGGGGGAGTCGCCTGGGAAATCTGCAAACCAGGCGGCCAGGACCCCCCAGAAACTCCGGACCTCCCAAACTTTTAAATTTTTAAATTTTTAAAATTTTAAAAATTTTAAAAATTCAAAAGTGTTTTAAATTTTTTAAATTTTTAAAATTTTTAAAATTTCTAAACATCCCAGGGCCTGGGAAATCCGCAAACCAGGCGGCCAGGACCCCCCAGAAACTCCGGACCTCCCAAACTTTTAAATTTTTAAAAATTTTAAAAATTTTAAAAATTCAAAAGTGTTTTAAATTTTTAAAATTTTTAAAATTTTTAAAATTTCTAAACATCCCAGGGCCTGGGAAATCCGCAAACCAGGCGGCCAGGACCCCCAGAAACTCCGGACCTCCCAAACTTTTAAATTTTTAAAAATTTTAAAAATTCAAAAGTGTTTTAAATTTTTAAAATTTTTAAAATTTTTAAAATTTCTAAACATCCCAGGGCCTGGGAAATCCGCAAACCAGGCGGCCAGGACCCCCCAGAAACTCCGGACCCCCCAAACTTTTAAATTTTTAAAAATTTTAAAAATTTTAAAAATTCAAAAGTGTTTTAAATTTTTAAAATTTTGAAAATTTTTAAAATTTTAAAAATCCCAAGGTCTGGAGACCCCGAAAACCAGGCTGAAGGAAGAAAAGGAGGGGGAGGCGAAGGGGGGGAGGAGGAGGAAGGAGGAGGAGGAGCAGGAGCAGTGACAGTGAGAGGCAGGAGGAGGAGGAGGAGCAGGAGCAGGGAGAGGCAGGAGGAGAGGAGAGGAGGAGGAGAAGGAAGTGGAGTGAGAGGAGAAGGAGGGAGGAGGGCCCTGGAAGGTCACAAGATGATATGAAAGAAAGAGAAGGGTATGAGGTCGGATACCGGTATCCCCTCCTGGTCGGCCGTACCCCTCCCTCCCTCATACCTCCCTCCCCTCCCTCCCTCCCTCCTCCCGCGCCTCCCCTCCCCCCCCTCCGACTCCTCCACTCCTCCCCCCTCCCTTCCCTCCTCCTCCCTCCTCCCTCCTCCTCCTCCTCCGCCTCCTCCTCCTCATCCTCCTCCTCCTCCTCCTCCGCCTCCTCCTCCTCCTAAGAGGGGAAGGTGGAGCTGGCGGCGCCAGCGGTCCTGGTCGCCCGGGAGCCGCGGCGGGGGGAAGAGGCCGTCCTCGAGGTACACGGCCGTTCCCTCCGCGGTCTTGTGTGCATTCCTTCCGCTGCTGGGCCGAGGAGGGGCGGGAACGGGCGCCAGCAGCAGCGTTGCGGAACGGTGGCGGAGGGCCGTTCATGCGGGAGGAGAGAGAGAAGAGGACAGAAAGAAAGAAAGAAAGAAAGAAAGACATAAAGAAAGACATAAAGAAATATACAGAGAGAACACTAGATTTAGAGAGAGGGCGAACAAAGAGAGAGAGAGAGAGAACAACATTAGCCTGGCGAAGGACCCAACCATATGCAAATGTGGATACCGCATTTGTGAATACCATCTTCGCCCGCGCCCCCTATGTGGCCACGGCTTCCCGCCGGAACCCGGCATGCTCAGGAACACGTTCGTGGCCGTCTTCGCGCGCGACGACGACGACAAGGACGGCGTCCCTCTGACCGAGGAGCAGAAGCAGGAGAGGACTTTGAGAGCCATGAGGGAGGAGGCGCCGTTGCACGTCGACAAGGCGGAGTACGACGCCCAAGCGCGGTTGTTGAAGCAGCACAACTGTGGGGCCACGATCCTCGTGAGGGGTGTGCCGCAATGGCCCGGGGCCGCCATGCGAACCCTGCCACTGGCGCCATCGCTGGAGCTCCTGTGGGGCCACGATCCTCGTGAGGGGTGTGCCGGAATGTCCCGAGGCCGCCATGCGAACCTTGCCGCTGGGGGCCTTCCGTGGAGCTCCTTATGGGGCCACGATCCTCGCCGTGAGGGGTGTGCCGAAATGGCCCGAGGCCGCCGTGCGAACTCTGCCACTGGCGCCTTCGGTGAAGCTCCCAATGTGGCCACGATCCTCGTGAGGGCTGTACCGACACGGCCCGAGGCCGCCGTGCGAACCCTGCCACTGGCGCCTTCGGTGGAGCTCATATGGGGCCACGATCCTCGCCGTGAGGGGTGTGCCGAAACGGCCCGAGGCCGCCATGCGAACCCTGCCACTGGCGCCTTCGGTGGAGCTCCTATGGGGCCACGATCCTCGTGAGGGGTGTGCCGAAATGGCCCGAGGCCGCCATGCGAACTCTGCCACTGGCGCCTTCAGTGGAGCTCCTATGGGGCCACGATCCTCGTGAGGGGTGTGCCGAAATGGCCCGAGGCCGCCATGCGTACTTTGCCATTGGCGCCTTCGGTGGAGCTCCTATGGGGCCCAGATCCTCGTGAATGGTGTGCCGAAACGGCCCGAGGCCGCCATGCGAACTTTGCTTGTGGCGCCTTCGCTGGAGCTCCTATGGGGCCACGATCCTCGTGAGGGGTGTGCCGGAATGGCCCGAGGCCGCCATGCGAACTCTGCCACTGGCGCCTTCAGTGGAGCTCCTATGGGGCCACGATCCTCGTGAGGGGTGTGCCGAAATGGCCCGAGGCCGCCATGCGTACTTTGCCATTGGCGCCTTCGGTGGAGCTCCTATGGGGCCAGATCCTCGTGAATGGTGTGCCGAAACGGCCCGAGGCCGCCATGCGAACTTTGCTTTGGCGCCTTCGCTGGAGCTCCTATGGGGCCACGATCCTTGTGAGGGGTGTGCCGAAATGGCCCAAGGCCGCCATGCGAACTTTGCTACTGGCGCCTTCGGTGGAGCGCCTATGGGGCCACGATCCTCTACCAAAATGGGGCGGTGCCGAGATCGGTGATGATAATAATAATAACAATAATAACAATAATAATAAGAGTAATAATAATAATAATAATAATAATAATAATAATAATAATGATGATGATGGTGGCGATGACGGTGATGATGATGATGATGATGCTGATGATGATGATGATGGTGATTATGATATGTATGATGACCATTAGCTTGATGATGATGATGATGACGATGATGCGAGGAGGAGGGAGGGGGCAGCGGGAGGAGG